AGAGGCTATTTGACAGTGGAAGTTCTGTTTCATGAAGTGGATGCATAAGAGGCTTTCTGCAGATGGGTTTGCCCCCTGCCCTCTCCTCAGCCAGTGTCTATTCAGCTGAAGGCTGGTTCTTACAAGTTACAGATCCATTTAATGCTTACCCAGTAACTCTGGTTTCTTTCCTGACAGGATCTGGTAGAAGATGTGATAGTCTCTTTCACCAGGTTGCTGGAAAATCACTCGAGATTTCTCCAATAAATCTAGTTGCACAAACGAAAATTCAGTGAGTAAGGCCCTCCAAACTTTCAGATGAGCAATTGTATTTTTTAAAAGGAGAAAGTTTGCTGCTTACAGATCTCAATATCAGCAGATGACAGCTTTCCTGTGGTTCCAAAATGGATTCGGATAAATTTACCCTAATTCACACAGAAGAATATTCTAATTAGTGCATATAATATACACAGAGAGAAACAAAGGATGCTGCTTGAAGGCAATCATTTGGCCCAAAGAATCAGCTTATGCTAACTCCTTGGTTTTGCACAGGCAGATTTTCAAAGAGAAATATCAAACAATGATACTACACTTTTCCAAGCCTAAATCTGTACATACAGCTATGTAATCAGCTTGTGGGGAAAGGATAACAGTGTACTAATCTGCCATGCTAAGATATGGGAATGTACCTAGCTTCCAGTTTCATGATGCAGCTTTACTGTAACGCTGGACTCAGAGCAATAAGCCTGGGTGTAAGACACACAGGCTCCTTTTTTGACTCCTCATTTCCAGTCCTAACTTACATGCAATTACTTATGTCAGAAAGGTGCTGTGATTTTACACTGCTTTGCCCATTAAATTTGCATATTCATCCCCCCCAAACTCATAAAAAATGAGTAGTTTTCTTTTAACTTCCTATATTCAAACACATCAAATTTTAAAATAATTAATTTCCGTTCCAGCTGACAAACTCCATACATAACTGTTCAGCTTTCCACAGATGCATGAAAACTCTGACCTCTGCACTGAGGGACAAGCAGGGGTAGCTTACTCGGCTATAAAGGCAGACAGTATGAACCAAGGTAGGAGTACTGCTGCAGGTGCAGGTCTGCAGAGAGGCGAGATGTGGGAAGGATCAGAGACTGTGGTGTATTTCTAGTTAGTGACAAAGTAGAGCTATTATAGGGAGAGGGAATAACTTAGACTAATGGAAACCATGGTAGGAAAAAAATATTCTATGCAGCAGAGGCAATCCTGGGGAAGATCTGCCATTGCTGTTCAAAGGACTTCATAAAGTTGGCTTTGCTTGTCTCCTGATCATGTACAGTTTCAACACTTATTCTTGGTGGACTTTTATTTGTTTCTTTTAATCTTAATTATTTAAATAGTTTTTCCTGGTGAAATCCTAGTTTGCTATTTTTACATGTCCTGGGTTCAGCTACAGCAGTCATTTTTTCTCCTTCTTAGTAGCTGGTGCAGTGCTGTGTTTTTGACTTTCAGCCTGGGAACAACGCTGATAACACCGATGTTTTTAGTTGTTGCTCAGTAATGTTTACTCTGATCAAGGACTTTCTCAGTCTCATGCTCTGCCAGGGAGGAGGGGAAGCCAGGAGGGAGCAGAGACAGGACACCTGACCCAAACTGGCCAAAGGGGTATTCCATACCACAGCACGTCATGCCCAGTATAGAAACTGGAGGGAGTTACCCGGAAGGCCCAGATCGCTGCTCGGGTCGGGCTGGGTATCGGTCGGCGGGTGGTGAGCAGTTGTGTCCTCTCCCCTTGTTATTCCTCTTATCATTATTACTGGTAGCAGTAGTGGTTTGTATTATACCTTAGTTACTGGAGAGCTGTTATCTCAACCCGTGGGAGTTACATTCCTTTGATTCTCCTCCCCATCCCTCCGGGAGCAGGGGGAGGAAGAAGGGGGGCAGCGAGTGAGTGGCCGCATGTTTCTGAGTTACTGGCTGGGCTTAAGCCACAACATTACACTGTGTGGAAATCCAACCATTTTAGTATGCAAATGAAAAGCAATTATGAAGGGATTATTACAGAAACGTTATTCCCTGGCCATTGTTGTAGAGGACATACGATATGTTACAGACTTACAAAACGTGAGGAGTTGTCATTTCTCAGAGTTTTGGCGTTTCCAAAAGCTTCTAGGGCTGGGTTTGCTTGAATGATTTGATCCTCCAAGGTTCCCTAGAAGTCAGGGTTGAAATACTGTTGAGAAACCTACATGCCACAAACTCAGCTGTCAACTTTAAGTCAGCCATGCATTCACTTGAAGATGCAGTGGATTTAGCTCCACCGTAGGGGTACAGTGTGAATGGCATAATAGCAAGATTGTCAGTCAATTATTGTTTAAAAGCCCTCAAACATTTTGCTGCTCTCTACTGTTTTGCTTTGCAGATTTTGTATTTTATGCCATCTGTACATGAAAGAAATCACCATATTTTCCGGTGTGCTGTGAGGCATGTGAGGACATCCAATGGAATGTGTGTAGGAGAGGGACTATTAGAGACAGTGACGAGCACTAAAATGCATTAGATTTGAAAGCACTTGGAGCTTGTAATATTTGGGATTTTTGGAGATGATAAAAGCATTAACTGTCAGTCACACAAACTTCATTCGGCTGAAGCACACTATTTTTACTGCCTGGGCTCCGGGGATCCTTTGCGGGGGAAGTACGTAAAGTGGGACGCTGAGGTTCATGACATGAAATGACAGAGCCCAGTGTCATTTTCACATGGAAAAGATAAAATAGCAAAACTGATGACTTACCCCAGTTTTGGTAGCTGGTTGCTGTCAAAAGAGGAACACAATTGAGAGGAAAAGAATAAGAGAGAGAATGTGAGTACTAACATGAAGGATGTCACAAAAGATAAAGAGATGAGCATTATCAAGGTTAGATGTCTAGTGGGCACCAACACCAGCAGGACTTATTGAAGCTTTCCTTCAAAAAACACATGCAACTGACTTATTCAGCATACATCACAAAACAGCCAGTGCTGTTCCTACCCAGGTTCTTGGTTTAAACCCTGCTCCAAGCATCTATCTGGTTTTGCTCTGGAGATGTTCCACAATGAGAAGGCTAACTAACTGGACAGAAAAAAGAGACTGGTGCCAGTCGGCAAGAATAAAAGGGTGTAAATGCAAACAGACCAGATTTAGATGATTAGATTGTGCTGCACTTGAACTCTTGGGTTATTTGAGAAAAAAAAAATAATTAAAAAATGAGGGTGATGATAATGAAAATAAAATGTGAGCTGAGCAGATAAATTACATGGAATATCTTCCAGCTGCAATATCTGTTATTTGCACAATTGCTCCATGAGCACACAAGGTCCCAGACACCATTCAGAGCCCTAACCTCATTGCATGCAGGAAGCTGGCTCTGGACCAAACATTTGTTAAGAGAGCCTTGCAAGCCTCAAGTGAATGTATATTAGATTTTGGTGATGTGAGTTATGCACACAGAATCCAAGCCTCGCTGAAATTTTGGCCTTCTAAATACAGTTCATCGGAATCAGCTAATTCACCAAAAAAGAGCACTGAGCCATCAAGTGCAATGAAGCTCATAGTTAATAAGCTCATAGCAACACAAGATGAAAAGCAGCATGAATACAGTATTCACTGTAACCTTAGAGAGTACTTATAAGTAGAACAGCACTTACACAAAGAGAAATACAGAAAAGCTGATTGAAAAAAAACACTTTTGTCAAAACATTCCCTTTTGTGGACAAAAAAAGCTTTCAACAAAACAGACATTTTGATGAGAAATGATAATCCTAGTCCTTTTGAAGACTATTTTCCATGTGAAAACATATCAATTTTTTAATCTTCACAGTCTCCCCATCTTTTGACCAGATTTAACATGATCAGAAACATATTCAACACATGCAAACCCTAATACTCCTTGAAAAAAACAGTAGCAACAAGCAGCTGTTCAGAACCAGGGGTGGTTTTACTGCTGCATCTGGAGTTCAGGTGAGCATTGCCTTTCTACTTTCAGAATAGCATGCTCTCAGTAATGCCATTTGGAAGCATCAATATCTTTTCCCAACAGTTTCTCTTCTTAGTCATGCCTGCTGAGGTCTAGTGCATGGTCCAGTGTTCAAGAAGCAGAATTGTGATGTTAGTTGTAGGTAACAGAAAACCCTGTGGAGTCTGAAATGAAACAGCCAGCAGCAGACTTACGTTCTTTTTACCAGGTTCACCCAGGGCTGCCACTGTGGCAAAGTACTGGATGACACGTTTTGTGTTGACGGTCTTGCCAGCACCGGATTCTCCGCTAAAGGAAGGAGGAAGATAACATAGGCACTGCTCAAACAGCTGCAACTGATCCTTTCACCCTCCTGTCCTGCCAGCTCCTCCCCACACACAGGCAGTTCTCAGAACCACTGACTGATTTCTGCAGCCTGTTGTTTGTCCATTGCAGTGGAAATGGACATTTCCACTGAAATCCCGTTAAACCGACTGAATGAAGAGGTGAATGCCTATGATAGCAGTATCTAATTCTTAATGTGACAGTGTCAGAAATCTAGTAGACTAAGCTTCCTTTAAGGGCATGCAGTTTTGTTACAAACATCCAGACTGAGGATGTGTAAGGTATACATATATACAGCTGATGAGCTAGATAATGTACAGAAAAGCTGCAGTGATTTGCTGGCATTGTCCACAAGCACACGTGAATTGTGCAGAACTCTCCATCTTTCATGCTTGCCAGTAAATGGCATGGCTCTTCTTTCCTGCCTTGGTCTTCTCCTTCCTTTAGATGTGTGTAATCAACATTCTTAAATATAATTTAAAGCAAGAGCAAGCATGTTCAGTAGGAGTCTTCCGTGTCCAAAGAGGGCAGCCAGAGCAAGACTAACCCTGGAAGAAATTTCTTTAACTGCCTGCTGAGTTGTTTTCATGCCTACTTGGAATGAACACTACACAGGGGATCAGAAATGGGCCAATTCCATAAAACCCTTAGCTACTCCTTTCCCATGGGGTTCAAGACAGCCACCAGATTGCCAAATTGCCAGTTACTTGGCTTGGATCAAGTTCCAGGCAGTTTAGCTGAGCTTTCAAGGGGCAACTTGTATTTTGGTAGGATTTTTTTTCTTCTGAGTTTTTCACAGCAACAGAGGCTCAGATCAGTCACAAAAGAAGCACTTACGTGATCAGCATAGACTGATTCTCCCGATCTGTGGAGGGGAAAAAAAATAAATATACCAACTTAGTAGGCTTAGTAGGCTGTACAAATTGCTTATTACAATTGCAAATGAGTATCAACTATTCCAAAATCAGTCTTGCAAGGACAGGAGAGAATCACACAAAGCAAAGATGGAAAGATAAAACCCAGTATCACCTAGTCTGACTTCCAGCAGTACAAGTTCTAGCCCTGCCCTGAATCCTCCTCTCATGTTTTGTTCAAGTCAGTATTAAAGACCTGTCAGTCATGCATGTTCCTCCTGTGTCTGGGAAACTATAATAAAGAAAGTAATTTCCTGTCATCAAAATGTTTCTTTTCTTACTCCTGAGTATGTCTTCTGCTCCAGCAATACTAAAATACCTGAATACTAAATATACTAAAATAATAAACCCCAAGTAATTCTGCTGTTTGTTCACAGGCCGTTCCTTACTATACATACGTACACTTCTTCAGTTGGCCATGTGCTTTGTAGTTTTATGGTGTCCCCGGTGTTACTGGCCTGGCCAGAAATAAGCATTTATTAGAGCACTTTGCAACCTTAATATATTATTAACCAAGTTCAGCAAATGCTAAATCATAGCTGCTTTCCAAGCTGTTGAGCCTAAATTTGTCTTTTTTTAATTCCAGTTATCATGACAGACTACGTATAGGGCATATTTCACCCTTACCTCGTAAAAGAGCATCTTTTTGCAACCACACACACATCCCCTCTGCCCAGCGCTTTCTGTCCTCTCACAGCTGTGGCACTTCACGTTTTATTAATACCAGCTTATAACAGGATGTTCCTATCACATTCCCTATGGGATTTACGCTGCCGCCTCGCAGGACCTGGTGTGAGCACATCACTGCTGCCCTCTGCTGATAAACTCCTTTTTTTTTTTTTCAGTAACTTGAGGGTCAGCGAGAGAAAATTTCAAAGGAAAATCTGGAGCTCGCTTCCACAGTGTGGGTGCCCAGACCCACAGCAGTCAGTGCAGCACTGACCACGGCAGGTTCATGCAAGCAATGTGGGTTCCAGGTTAGATGGGGCTTTGAGCAACCTGGTCGAGTGTGAGGTGTCCTTGCCCGTGGCATGGGGATTGGGACTAGATGATCTTTAAGGTCGCTTCCAACCCAAACCCTTCTATGATTCTGTGTGTGCACAGCACCCTAGATAGCTGGCCTTCACTAACCTTGGCATGCATACATCTTAAAAGTGTTAGAATACTGATCATAAACTGACAGTAAGTTTGCTTTTGAGGTTGGGAAATACCTACAGGCCTTTGGGGCATAGCCCCACATCTGTTACAAACAGATGGATTTACCTAGTTCAGACAACTAAATTGGTGCACTTTGCATATAATCCATATGCAGAGTTTACTGTTACCAGAACTACACAGGGACAGTCAGGGGAGCTTAAAGTTACATATATAAATATATATAGGTGTATTCTACACATACATATGTATGCGCACATTTGTTGGACACTGCAAAAGCTCTCACAAACTTCCATCCAGTACCAGACCTGTCAACTAAATGAAGCAAAGCCAAATTTGAAATCAAAAAGTGCCACTTACTACGCAGCATGTCATGGTACGCGTTATCAGCAATGGAGAAGATGTGGGGAGGAGCCTCTGTGCGCCTCTTGCCTTTGTATGCAGCAACCACCTCCGACTTGTAGACAGGCAACCACTTGTAGGGATTTATAGTCACACAGAATAAACCGGAATAGGTCTAGAGAGGAACACATAACAAAAGTGACAAATACTGCTCCAGGAATAAGAAACAAACTCTCAGCTAACCAAGGAGGACCTGGAGTTGCAAGCTTCTGATGTGAGTTTGAATTCTGGCTTGAATTTCAGCCTTTGATCTGAATTTCTAAAGCTACTGGTCTGCTAAGTGACTTCTTATTAGCAATTGAAATCAAAACTACAGATATTAAACAGTTTTCCAAAGGGGGAAAAGTATTTTCAAGATGACAAGCAGAAACAGAAACAGCCCCTTCATCAAAGCAAAGGACCAGCAAATGGGCTTATGTGTGAGTTTCTGCCTTGCTAGCCCTCAAGAGTTGTTTCCTCTTGAAAACAGTCATTACAAAGAAAAGTTACAGCTTTCCTGTTCAAGCTCCATTCTTAAGAGGAGAATCTCCCATTATTGATTTGATGTGAACACTTTGGGGCAATATCTGGTAGGAATTCAAAAGAAAACAACTTCATAGTGTTATTCCCCAAAGATATGGAGCTTTTTCCAGCATTTGGAGAAAAACAGTTGGTAAAAGTCTCTCTTTGGGCTATCTATATCGGTTAGCTGGGGCCTGGTCATTCTGAGAAAGAATGAGTTTTCAGTTGTAACCCCAGCTACTGCATGGGTATAAAAGCACTATGTGCACATAGATGGATGAGCTCAATTAAGTTTCAGGTGAAATGCAGGTATCTTCCTCTAAAAATAGCGTTAGGATCTGCTTCCAGAATTTTCTACAAGGAAAAGAAAAACCCCAACCAGTAAATGGAGTAAGGCAAGATGCCAAATTTAATTTTCTATCTGCACTGATCTGCAAGCAAAGCCATGCTTTAGGCCATAGTTGTCCATACACAGGCTATTAGAGGAATGCAGAAAATGTTTATCAATCAGAATTTAAATGGGAAAAAGTTGGATTTACTCCTTTGATGAACACCAAAAGTCAGAACAAGGGTTGGCTAGAAAATCTATAGATTCCTCTAACCGATTTCAGACACAACTAAATGGAGCAAACTGAGAGAAAAAGTTTGGCCTTATAAAATTAAATGCTATTGAAGCTTGTTCTGGTGCTGACAGAAATTATGTTAATGATGACATGGGGAAGATACAGAGCAAGGGAAAAGGCCAGAGCAAAACAAGACAGATGTCAGCACTGAAAATGAGGGAATAAAATTACTGAACTAAAGATAGAAAGGCTCATACTTAAAAGAAGTTATGTGTGTGCTCTAAGCTTGAGGCATTGTTTCTCAACAAAGAATCTCCATGGCTGGTATTGACATGGATTAATATCAGGAGAGTAAAAATAAACTAGGTCTCTCCAATGCCTTGACTGCTGAAAGTATGTCCTCTCCTAGGCAAGCAAGCAAAAACAAAGAACTAGACACAATCTTATTCATTCAGTTTTGTCTGTATTCAGACACAAGCCAGCTCAAAGCAACTTCTTTCATGAAAAGATGAGCAAGACCTCAGTTTTGAGACTTATCAAAGCTGTAAACTGAATGCGAAGAACACATGTTCAAAAGCGAAGTCTGCCCTTGACATGAACCTTACATAGATCATCCAGTTGCTGTAGCGCTTTCTCAGATTGTACAAAACAGACGCCTCGTTCAAATGGGTCAGCATAGCCATGTCCTCAATCATGTCAAATTTGGGAGGGTTCATTGACTGCACATCATCTTCTTTTATAGTCATGGTCTGCAAAAACAGAGAAGTACAGCCACACTGGGGAACTCTGGGGTTTTCTGTTGCTTCACATGCCTTATAGGAGAACGTTTTGGTTTTCCCCCACAGAGGAAAGTCCTTCACCTCAAACCCAGCCTATATACATAATACTATTTGGGAAAGGCCAAGATGATAAAAGCAAGGAGGATGGTGGTGTGGCTACAAAAGGACACATGGGATTTAGCTACAGCCTGGGCTTTCACCTCTGGGGCCAAGCCAGAACTAGCTGGTTGCAATACCTCTGCTCACAGACCTCCTGCTGCTGTGCAGTGGCCGATGACCCCCCACCACATCGCTGGTTTTCCCTTGGTGGTTTTTCAAGTGTCATTCTGGCAACAGACAACTGAGCTTCAACCAGGACAGGTAATTTCTGGGGCTTGCTGCTCCAGCCTGGTTAGACACAGATCAAACAAAACTAGTTCAGTACCCTTCCATCTGTTGTCTGCACAGTCACTTTTCCACCACTGGTTTCTGTAATTTCAGCTTCAACATAAGCTTTCTTGTCATCAGGAACCCAACATTTCTTCTTCCCTGTGAAAGCAAGGAGACAGAGGGTTCACAACCTTGCATCAAACAGTAACACCACGTCTAGATAAGCAAGACTGCTGGGTTACTTCTTCTGCACATGCAACACAAAACCTCTGGGACTGCAGCAGATCCGCAGTGCTGGGGAGGGGGGCTGCCTGCCCAAGCAGAAGGTGTAGGGCTCCCAAATGTTCTCTGCCCTTTGAAACTACCACTTGGCTTCCTCTAGATCCTTCCAGCACAAGGTGTCAAAATATTTCACAAGTGCTGGCTAAGCCTCAGCCTCCACGGGAAATCCATAATCATCATCACCAGTGTGCAGATGGAGGAACTGAGATCCAAACCCAAATTAAGGCGTTTGCTAAAAAGTCACACAGAAAATTGTGATCTGAGCGAGGAATTCAGCCCACATTATTTGCCTGCCAGCTATCAGATTTAACCTCATTCCTGCACATTCTGCAGAGGTTTGTCTTGAAAAACAGAAATCTTAATAACTCACATTGAGTTATGTATGTGGCTTTTTAGAGTTTGAAGTAGCTGCACTAGACTTTAGGTCTTTAGTTACAGCAACTATTCTGAATAGCAAAATGCTGTGGTTATTGCTGTATTTATACTTACTACAACATCTTAGGGAAAATATAACTCTATTTCATAAAGATTTTATTACGGGAAACTAAAAGCTAACATCAGATTGTCATACAGCCTGCAAATCAAACAGATGTACAATATAACGAGACATCAAGTCAGGCCACAGAATCTCTTTCATTACAGGAACATCAATGTGTGGTGGTTTTGTTTCAAATGGATAAAGAAGTAATCTCCACTTTAGCAGATCAGCACAAATACATTCTGCTTCTAAATCTAGTTAATTAATTACCATAAAATGATATATTATTTCTATTTATTACTACCTGGGGCTTTTTAATCACTTTGCAGAATAAAGAAACCAGAACTTGGTTGAACCAGTTACCTCAAAGAGCAGTGGCAGCACAGCAAAGACAACAGAGGCTTTGCATCCTGTTTTGCTCTGCAGTCCCAGAACTACACTTGGATAAACCCCTCATCCCCCTTAAGCAGCCACTGGCAGCAAAAAAGGTATCACAACTCACCATCGAAGGCTACGGTCTGAGCCATCATCAGCTCCTTCTCGCTCTTTCGGAGGTAGGGAGCAGCCTCCCCGAATTCCGACATGTCCATCATCTTGGCAAGGGTTCAGTGTGGCACAGTTCAAAGAGGAAAAAGAAAAAGAGCTGGTCTGCCAAAGAAAGGGAGGGGGGCAAATGAATCTATTTCATGGCAATCCGAGGCAATACAAAACAGCGCAATTTGGCAGGTGGTAGATCAAAGCGATGATCAATTTGAAACGCAAACACCTAACACAGATTTGTGGCTACACTGCACCCTTAGTTAAATCCTTCTCTGGCTCAGCTTACTTAAAGCCAGCCAGGTCCTGTGTAGTTCAAAACATCAACATGGGTCACAGTTATCTCCATCGGAGAATTTAATCTCTTCCTTGTGGCACAAATGGTGCTTAAGAGGAGGAGGGACCATTTGAAGCTGCGATTTTAAAAAACACTTAGCAGGGGCCTGTTCTGGCCCTATTCAAGTGTGCCTGGAGCAGGCATATGCTGTCCAGCGCATCCCTCTGGGGCCATGCCACTCAGCCACTTCAAGCATTGTCTCATGCAAGCATTTTCTGGGAATCATGGAGCAAGGCTTCACTGCTGCAAACTGAGAACTGCTGCAAGGGTGTGTGTTACACACTTCATGTGGCTCCAGGGATGTATGCCCACGCTCCTGCTGGAGAAAGCCAGCGCTGGAGCTGGAAACAGCTCTGCTACCTGCAGCACACTCCTCCACTTGCATGAATTAGCACGTTAGAAAAACCAGGACTAACACAGCTTGGGGAGGTCCTGTGCTAGTGCAGCTTCCCAAGTTGCTGGTACTTCCAAATTGCCCAGCTTGGGTATCCAGCTGCAGCAAGACATGGCAGAGAGCAAGTGTGTCTGCAGTATTGATGCAAGGGCTTCATGTATTTTTCAGACTGATTTGAGTTTATTATTCCAGCTTAATACCTACACTCATTTTCCCAAATAACAAGGCCACAGTGTTCAGGAGCCTTTTATCATGAAAGAGAAGACAGGGGACATGTGTGTAAGTGAGACCAATTTGCTGGATTTTTACTGCCAAGCAATTAATTTGCTTATGTACTCTCTAAAGCGATCATATAGATATGTTTTTATTTATGTATTTTTCTATATGCATGCACGTACAAATATTTGCACACACAGAGATACGTAAAATACTCAGGGTGTTGTCCAGAGAAAGTATAAAAGAAGTTCCACCACTAAAATGTACTCACAATTTCAGAATTTCAGGTTTGTTTTCTTTAAAACCAAGACACCATTTGATTACTATTTGAAGCTTTACAAGTGACCCTCAGATATTACCTCTTCCCTCATTTCATTCACTGTGCAATATCAAGAGCAGCTGGATGAATTTTCAAGAGCCCTATCGAGACAGACACTGTAGTCTTTCAAAATCTAATTCAATTTCTTTCTAACAAAATCCTGATAGGGATAAAAACTCTTCATCAACCAAGGCAGTTTTGTTGAGGTTTTTTTTTCCAGCACATTCCTCGTGGGGAACACAAAGACCTGAGACAGCAGAGCTGCCAAACCTTTTACATTCAGCCTTCTCCTGCTGCAGCAGTACAAGCTCGAGACCTGTCTTGTTGCTGTACAGCAAAAGCTTTCTTCCCCCATCCCAGACTTAACTTTTTTCCTTTTTTAAAGATTAAGGACCTACATAAGCACAACTGTTGCCAATTATTTTAACATCATCTGAAGTGACCAAAATTCCCCACTGAAGGCACAGCTCAGAATTAGCGTGGCAAAGTCTGTCTCCCATGGGGAGTGTGTCTTGGCTTTAGTGGAGCAATGAAATTACATCAGTTCATACATTTCAACAGAACACCGTTAGAGCATGTAAGTGCCATTTCACATTAAACATGCAAGTGCCGGAGGAGCCACTCCAGAGTTAATCTCTAGGACTCAGGACAGATTCTCACAAGTCCTAATACACACTAAAGTACTCTAAACTACTCTGTTGAACCTAGCTCCATTTGCAGACCTCTTAGGGACAGTTACTCAGCTATCACCTTCTTATCTCTTCTCCTCCCCCCCATATATTCAAGGTGAACCCTGGCTGCAAGTGATGGTGTAAAGAAGCACTATGGCAGCTGGGAGAGAAACCCTTTATCTTCGGCAGTCTTATGTGCTTGGAGTTACAACAGAGGCCAGAGCCCAGGCAGCGCATACCTTGTGGGTGCAGAGAACTCAGTGAGTCAAATCCATTGCCAGATAAGAGAAATTGGAAATGTTTAGTTTATGGTCATAGTATTATTTTTAAAAGGCAATATAGTAGGGAAAAACAAGACAGAGCTAAAGACATTTACTTTCCTTTCAGTCTGTTCTAGCTAACAAGAAGAGTCAGCCCTTGTATATAAACATTGGAAAATACTTGAAAACACAAACTCCTTGTAGAAAGCCACTTCTGTGACACAAAGTTAAGTAGCATGCCCAGGACCACCAACAGTTTGGTGGTGAATTCAGACTTGGAAAGGAAGCACCTTGTTTTTCTTTACTCGGGCTGTTTGAAGAGCTTCTGTAGTGCTAAGGGCTCATATCTGCAATAGCAGCAACAGCAGGCATAGCCTGACTTTGAAAGAGAGCCCAGTAATTCTCCAAGGGTTGTAACTCAGGTTGGATTAAAGAACTTGGACCCACGAACTGCTTAAAATTTCAAACTGCATAAGCCATCACTCTTGCAGATGATAGAGAAGGCAGTAAACATGATTTGCAGGTACTGGCTAATCAGTGCACCCAGATGCATAATTGCAGGGGACCTGACACTTACCTAAGTGGTTATTCTAGCTGGCTAAATGAACGCACTAGTGTTAGAGAGGAAACATGTATTTGCTATCCTAGCATTTAAGCAGCATCCTAGGATGACTAGCATGAACTATATGTTTAGTGATATTACTACTAAAGCCTTAAGCCACATGAAAGCTTTAGTCACATCAAACCCACAGTACAGTGTTAGAGCACAGCTGGCTACCCGCATTTAGAAGTGAGAAAGGTTGGTACTCACCCTGGAGAGCACACAGAAAGCGTCACGCCTCTGCCTGGTCCAGACTTTATATGCCCCTATCTCAAGGTCACTGGTGATAACTGTTTAAAGGCATCTGCAGTTTTCCTCCATGCCTATATTTGTCTGCCGGATCCTGGGTGAGGAGACAATGCCTGAGGAGGGGACACATGTGGCTGCGCCCTGGTGAGGGGAGGGGGGCAGGAATGTCAGTGGGGAGCAGCACACTCCTTGCCACTCCATTCTTGCTCCATGACTTCATGGAAGAAGCTTTTCCTGCTTCTGTGTTTTCACAGGGGCAAGTGTTGCTTTTCCAAGTGCCTTAGAACTTAATTACCATGGGCTTGGGGGGTTGAATGGAAACTCATACTCTCAGATGTAAGTCTCCTAGAATACGAAAATCAAAGCTTCTTGCACAAGGGACAAGTGGTTATAAAGGGAATTTAGTTATATAAGCCAAACTGACCTCAAGCAACAAAGCTAGGATGTGGGTTCTCACATCTCAGTCAAGAGCTTTAAATCCCCTTCTTGGGCCCCAGAGGTTTAAAAGCCAAGCCTATAGGCTTAGGCTTGGGATACACAGGTATTCTGTGTATCCCATGAACTGGTATTCCCAAGTTCATGAACAAGGCAGGATGGTGAATAAATTTCATATATTGATTCTGCCTGGAAAGTGAATCACAGATAATGAACAAAGTAGGCATCAATTTTAGTGAGTGCTTTGCTTCAGGAAACTCATTTATGAGACTGAGTTTAGGCAATGTCTGGCCTTCTTATTGTAAACTCGTTTTTCCTGTAAAACCAGCTCCATAAGTTACTCAGGTCTCATTTCATTTCAACCCATAAATAGCAAAACAACTGACACATGCAGATTGTTTTGCTTTTACCACCATGGGTAGATATATAGGTTCCCTTCAGTTCTAGCATAAACTGAATATAAAAGCAGAAGAGAAAATGAATATTGTGGATAATGCTTGTTGGCCACAAAGGAGAACAATTTATCAGGGCTTTAGAAAACTCAATTCCAAGGAAGAAAAAGGAGGGCAAGGAGAGAGCTTACCCACAGCTTCACCGAAAACTTAGATACCCACAGGAGCAAGTGGTTTGGTTTGTGACCAGGCAAGAAGAAAAATGCATACCGAGTCTGCTATTTTTAAAGTTGTTTTCCTGATGACTGGACAGTGACAGGTTGCACAGACAAAGCAGGTTTGTAAGAAGCAGAGCAATTTATGGGAGTGATAGGCTCAAAGACAGACTGATGTGGCAGGTCTGAGGACCTAGGTGCTTTAGCAACCTGCTATTTTTAGCATTTGGGGAATGCAACCAAGAGACAAGGAATCACTACTGCTTTACTAGAGATGTGCAGATCTCAAGACAGACTTAAGTTGAGGAGGAAGACCTCTGCTAAAGCTGGGGGTGAAGCTTTCAGTCCTAAGCTGGATATATCTGTGAAAGGAACATGCACTTGAGCTGAAGATGAGTGGTGTTTGTCACACTCCAGCACTTAAATGGCTGTTGCGCTCTTCTCCCTTGTTTCCTTAAACCAGAATCACTTCCCACCCCTCACAGCCTGTTCCTTTAGAGGTGCTCGGTGCCCCACAACACAGATAGATGTTGGTGTCAGATCTAACTCATCACCTTTTTGCTTTGTATCTGGTAAAATAGAAAATAGAGCTAGTGACCTCACTCCTTAGGTGAATGGTGAGTGATGGTGAATTGCTCAAACAGACACTCCTGATTTGAGAATGGTAAATCACCAAGATTTATGGATGCTGTTAATCTGGTGCAAAGACTGAGAATATGATTATTTCATGCCATGAGAGTATAGCACACTGATACCCGCCCTCTGGCTCCTCTCTCACACTGCCAGTAGCTTCACTTCTGAACACAATATTCCCATTATCATCTACTTTGCTTAGAAGAAGGCATCTTTTTTACAAATATGCTGCTACCGCATTTTTTCTGTTCTGCAAATATTCAGCTTTCATCAGTCCTGTACGAACTCCACAATCTCACTCCCACGCCTCCCTTTTCTTTTTTGGGGCTGCAAACAACTGTTTCGTAGCTGATGCCAATGCAGTTTCAATGCTTGTGTCACTTAGA